ATAAGAATTATAAAAATTATATTTTAAAACGAAAATGGAAATATCGAATAAAAAAAAAATAAATTACAAAAATCATATAATTATTATTTAATTATATTTATATTCATATATAATATAACTTTTAATAATATGAAGATAATTTATAATATTTTTTTTATAATTTATATTGTTATATTTCTTACAATATAATTTTTTTTGTATTAATCCTTGCAGAATATTAAAATAAGATAGAAATTTATTATATATTTTGAAATTCTTTTGATTTTGCCAAAAATAATGTAAAAAATAAAATATAAAAATAATATAAAAAAAATATATTTCTAGTATAATACTTTCTAAGATACATACTTTCTTAATTTTTTATTGAAAAATATTATTATTAAGATACTTATCATGTAATAAGTTATACAAACAAGATATTGCTAATCAAATCTATTGTTTCATTGAATAAAATATTCTAAATTTTTGAATATTTAATTTTGAATATAAAATTGTGAAAACATTTTTTGATCTCTATATAATCGGTAATTATTGCTTTTAATATTTTTTTTAAAGCTTCATCATCTATAATTACATGTATTATATCTGATTAAGAAAATGACTTTTCAATAAAAAAAGAGAACTTTTCTGAATATATATGATATATGATATTTCATGATTAATTTTTCAAATATATTAATACTCTCCTTTGACATAAGATAATAAATTTAATCAAAATTAAGAAATCATAGAAAAATAATTTTTATAATTAAAATAATAAGCTATTATTGTATGAACATATTATGAACATATACGAATATGCTTCTCATCTTGTTCCAATTATAATTCAAAAAATTCCATTTTAATCCAAATATTTAATACTTATAAAAAATCAAATCATATACAAATACAAATAAAACAATACAACAAAAATCAAATACAAATAAAAGTTTATGCGCGGACGTTGTACTTAATCGTAAGCGTATGATATGCATCTAACTTTTATGAATGGAATATAAGTGGTAAAATAAATTATGCTTATAGAAATTCTATTTTTACAATAGTTAAATTTTGATTTTGATGTAATTAAATTTTGAATATTTATAAAAAAAAATTTATTAGAAAATCATATTATACTATATTTTGTCATTATATTAAAAATATAATATTTTAATATACTAGGTATAGAAATATATTCTTTTCGATTTTTGTGAAAAACAAAAGTTTTATTACAAAAAAATACAATATTTCAATTGAAATTGTTATCAACAATGTCATTTTTTCGATAACTTTCGGATCCCACCATGATATGCGGTGATTTTGAGTCAATAAATTTATCAAAATATTTTAAAATGTATATATAAACATGTATTAAATAATATTGTAATGATCTAAATAAATGAAAATCACATAAAATCATATTTTGAAGCAGTATATATATATAATTCATACAATATAAAATATTTAGAATTCAATGAAAAAATAATGATCGATCTCACAAATTTATTGTGAGAAAAAATTTAGTTCACATCTTAATTAAATTGTGATTTTTTTTCTTTGAATTTTATAATCTAAATTAAAGAGTTATTATTGGGAACAATTAGTAGATTTTGTTACTTCTAGATTTCATAATTATTAGTATGATATTAGATCGTATGCAGCCAATAATAATGATTTAAATTTTCTTTGCATCAATATTGTGAACAGTGATGTCTAATGATGTCTCGTTAAACAAAATCTATTTATGATTTTTTATTTTAGATTATCATATAAAATTCATTTTTCATTACCTATAATGATGATTTAATTCATAATTATTGAAATTTTTGAAATTTTAAAAAAAAATTTTATTTTGCATAAAAACAATATTTAGAAGGATTTTATCGATTCAAAAAAATAAATAAAATTTTATATCAAACATTGACATTAAATTTATAGTAAAAACAAGCCAAGCCTATATAATCTGATATTTGTTTGGTGCTAAATACAAAATAAATTTTGTAGTACATACGCCATAATAAATTATGATTTTTCGATGATTAAAAATTTTAGCATTTGAATGAATTAAACAATTTTTAATTATTATGTATACGTATATTTGATTTTCGAAATATTAATTTAAAAGTTTTAATACTAAAAATTAAATATATTATACTAATATTATATTATACTAATATTAATACAACTATCTTCGTTGTAAAAAGTTATCAACTGTCTGATTTTAATATCTATAAAGTTTTAATTCTTTATAAAATATTCAGTTGCTTTTATGAAAAATCGCAAATGTTAATCGTTTTTTCACAAGAATTTTTTTTAATTTCTAATCAATATTTATTATCACTATTCAAAGTATGCATATTGCACACTAAATGCTTTTATCTGGTTTTCTTCTATTTTCATATTTAGCATTGTATTATTGGCAATTGGTAAGTTAAATGTGTTTAATTTATTAATAAATTAATAAATATTCATATAGAAAATGTTAAATCTAAAGTTTATTTTTTTATTTCTATTGTTCAAAATTTATACCGATCTTTTAGAATTATAATATTTTTAAATAATTTAATTCAATATTTTTGAAAATAAATAGAATAAGTAAAATATTATTTATAATAATTATTTCTATCGAAGCATATATATATAATAACTTAAATATAATTACAATTTTTAATTTAACTCGAGTACTGCAGTTTTGTTTTGATTTTGTAATTAATTGTTTGTATTTTAATTGTTCTTTCTATTTTTAAAATTTTTTTTGAATAATCATTATTCAGGAGGGATTGCGTATATTTGTAATTAAAATAATTTGCTATTTCATATTCTCTCCCTCATTAAGTCAATGAATCATTAATATGAAAAAAAAAAAAAAAA